TGAATATAAATTTCTCCATTCAGCGTGAATTTATCTGAGAATCTTCTTGAAGAAGGAAATCTCTTCAGTGATTGTGAATCAGCTCTCAGACTGAGACTGAAGATTTAGTCCTGCACTTCACTCAAATTAGGACTGAGATGCTCGATAACTAACTTAAGCTTTGAGCCAAGAATGGTTTTACTCTGCTGTCAGTTCTTAGCAGCGTTCTTATGAGTAATTCTGAGAAGCTTGATAAACGGGCCCAGAACCTCATCTGGGTCTGATCCGATTAGAGTCCTGCAGAGACTCTGAGACGAGACGGCTGCTGATGGACGACGTGTTTTTATTTCCTGTAATGAATATTAAGAAGCAGCTGAGACGCACACACACGGCTCATTACACCAGCAGGTCCCCCCCAGGACTGTTGGCTTAGGGGGTGGGGGGGTCCCTGGGGGGTGTGTGTGTTGGGATGGGGGTGGAGGGTGATTGATGGTGGTCTGCTCTGATTAAACAGACACTATTGGTGCTCCAGGAAAAACTGCTCGACCCTGAACGCACCGTCCAGCTGCTGCATCCAAGTTCTGATCCAGTGACGAAGGTGAAACACGACTTCAATAAATCTTTCAACAAGACAAATGACCGGTCCAACAGGAATCCTTTTGACCGCGTTTGTATCCAAATTAATGGTCGAGTTACAGAGAGAGCGAAGTCCAATAAATACATTTTGATGAGTTCTTAAAGTTCATGTGGATTTTTTCTTCCATTCAGAGCGCTGAGAACTTTATACAAGTGTTTATCAGAGCCTCCTCTGAATGACCGTTTCTCATATGGTGCAATACTTTTACCAGTTTCCAAGTGAAACTACAGATTTTGCAGGTAAAGCTTCCGCTGACCCGGTCCTCCACAGTGAATGTAAGAGCTTTCAGAAAGCCTATATGATGCAGTACACATGCTGAACAACAGACTGCGACCTGATTCCCATTCGAAACAGCTTGCACACATTTAAAACGAGGAAACCGCGGCTTATAACGGGTAAAAAACTTGATGAAGGAGCTTCAGTGTGGTGCGTTCAAGCGCTGTCACGTAAATAACAAACCCAATTATCATTTCTACAGTTTTATCCCAACGTGTGTGTGTGTGTGTGTGTGTGTGTGTGTGTGTGTGTGTGTGTGTGTGTGTGTGTGTGTGTGTGTGTTTGTGTCATAGGCGTGTGAAGAACTTTTAGCTTGCAAGAAAATACAATATGCGATATCAGGTTCACGAGAATGAGACGGAAAGATCGTTAAACAATGTTTTAAAGAAATCCTCAATGCTGAGATATATTAGCGGGGGGGGGGTTCTGGGGGGAATAATTAATTTCCCACATTCCTGTAAAAGTTTCTGACCAATTTATGCTGGAAATGTTTTTATTTATGTAAAAGGAAACAAAACACAGGCAGCAGGTGACATCAGTATAAGAGAATCTAAGTGAGAGCAGCTCTCAGATCTGTTTCTGCTGCAGATCAGCTTTTCTAACATCGTCCCTGCTGAGGCCTGCTTTAGTCCTCTCTCCTCTTTGTCATGTTCACAGGGAGGAAACGGAAAACTTGGCCAAAAGTTACGGACTGCTGCTGCACGTTTTGGGGTCATTTTATAATCAGCAGCTTGTTCTTTGAAGCTTAAGATCCTTTTTGGACGATGCACTTTTGTTTCTTCTATATTTTAATTGCACTGCATGTTTTCTTAATGTGCAAATAAACCTTTCTAAAGGCATTTTCATTTGGTATTCAACTGCAAGCTGTATTTCAGAACGTTTTTTAACAAATTATGCTTTAAAAAAGTGGTGGGGACATGTCCCCAGCGTCCCCAGCGTCCCCAGCGTCCCCAGCGTAAATGTGATTGTGTGTGCGTGCCTCACCCAGCAGACAGAGCGTGTGCAGTCCAGCTGTTCGGTTTTTACAGATTTTGTCGTAGAAGCTCTCTGGTCTCCACGTCTCCGTCCAAAACACCAACGACACCGTCTCCCCGAAATTATACAGCTGAGACACACACACAGGTCAGAGGTCATGACTCTGTGGTCGGCGTGTGTATAAAGAGGAAATTAAAGAACAAAGCTGTTTCCTGTTATCAGCTGCTGAACAGCCAATCTGAAGCTCTCAGCTGGTCTTTGTTTCATTTCAAATATTTGTTTAATATTTCACATTAATATTTGCCCCCCCCCCCAGCCCTCCGGGTCATATGCCGAAGGGGCGGGACTTACGCATAATGTAACAGCCCCACAGACAGCAGGGGCTGACGGGAGTTGACTCCCAGTGGAGGGAACATGGAGCTCATTAACATAGCCCGCCCCTCATTAGCATAATAACGACCTCCCAGTGGAGACGCTGCCGCCCGCTCTGTGTGTGTGTGGGGACAGCTGGGTCCTGCTCCCTGATTGGCTGCTCTGACAGGTCAGTTATTGATGAGGTCACATGAGGAGCTGCAGCAGATGGGACACCCTGAGGGGGGTTTGCCCTGAGCTCCGACTGCCAGGCAGATCCAGTACCTGCCAAACGCTCACAGGTCAGCTGATCTTCACCCAAAACAACATGTAAGAGACATTTTCTGCTTTTTTAAGATGTAAACACGTTAAAATCTGCATTTCGTGAACATCAATCTCAACGTGAAGACAGTTCTCCTGATTATTTCAAGTTTAACCCCAAAAAAAGCACAAGATGGCGGCGACACAGCGTGACCACAAGAAGAGAGGGAGGGTGCACAGGAGCTCAGGGTGCACAGGTGAGTCGTACCTGCAGACCACAGCAGCCCACTGCGTTCATGATGGAGGCATTGTGGATGACTTTGTACGGTATCCCAGCATTCACTGCTCTCAGGACCAGGTCACTGTGGGTGGTGGCTCTGCAGGGACACACAACAAACCTTCAGACAGCAGCTGGAGAGAAAACATTTAAATCATAAAACGATCCTCGGATTTATATTTTTATACTGAATCTGTCAGTCGGACAAAACAAAATATCTTCCAACAATTAATTAAACATAAAACAGACAATGAATAAAATAAAAGTTAGTTGCTGCCATTCAATTACACTCAATTAGCCGACGCCACCAAAGCAACCTACAGCTGCTGTTTATGTCAGAGGTCGCACGCTTCTGAAGCAACGGGGGGTTAAGTGTCTTGCTCAGGGACACACTGGTGGATGTGTCATGTGGAAATCGAACCCACGTCTCCCACATCAAAGACATGTGTCCTTTGATCAGGACATGTCCTTTAACCCCCACATTAAGCAAATTTCAAGGACTGCCTTTTTTCATCTATTGCAAAAATCTGGAAAATCTTGTCTAAAAATTAAACAGAAAAACTAGTCCACCACCATGTTACTAACACAACTTCTCCCCTTTCTGGTAGTCTTGTGCTTTCTCGTCTCTCTCCTCTCTCCTCCTATCACTTCCTGCAGGTGTTTCTGGCTCTGGAGCTGTGGAGTCTGGATCTGTGGTTGCGGGTCACCTGCTGCCCCCGTGTTCCTGCTCGACACCCTCTGCTACAACAATTATTGTTACTAGTCCTATTGTTATTATTGTTATTATAATCATGAACACTACTATACATATCTGTACCATTTTTCATTCAGTCTATAGCAACATCACCTTTACTGTCTGTACCTCTGTGTGGATATTGTGTAGGCTGCCCAAGACAGCGAGACAGTAACTGTAATGATACAGCAACCACATCTACGACAGCTAAGAGAGGACCTTCAGGAGAACGAGCTGCCCGTTGCAAACAGAACAGTGCTGAATGTATGCACAAAGTGTGTCTGAGCAACATGTAGCAGAAATAATCACCAAATCAATGCATTTTAAAATCAGGTGCAATCAGGAGTTTTGATCCATTTGGTCAAGAGCATTTGAAAAGTCTATCAGAGCTGCACGATTATCATTTTACCTCAGTTAACCAGGTTGGTGTAACTGCAGAACGACGCAGACACCAATACACAAGTATTAAATGCAAGGCTCTGTGCGCAGACTCGACGAAGAAAAAGCTCAACAGCAGACCGGCAAAAAATAGCTAACACCAGCTAACACTAGCTAACATTATATAACACCAGCTAACACTAGCTAACACTATTTAACATTATCTAACACCAGCTAGCGCTAGCTAACACTATTTAACATTATCTAACACCAGCTAGCACTATAACACTATTTAACATTATCTAACACCAGCTAGCGCTATAACACTATTTAACATTATCTAACACCAGCTAGCGCTAGCTAACACTATTTAACATTATCTAACACCAGCTAGCGCTATAACACTATTTAACATTATCTAACACCAGCTAGCGCTATAACACTATTTAACATTATCTAACACCAGCTAGCGCTAGCTAACACTATTTAACATTATCTAACACCAGCTGGCGCTATAACACTATTTAACATTATCTAACACCAGCTAGCGCTAGCTAACACTATTTAACATTATCTAACACCAGCTAGCGCTAGCTAACACTATTTAACATTATCTAACACCAGCTAGCGCTAGCTAACACTATTTAACATTATCTAACACCAGCTGGCGCTATAACACTATTTAACATTATCTAACACCAGCTAGCGCTAGCTAACACTATTTAACATTATCTAACACCAGCTAGCGCTAGCTAACACTATTTAACATTATCTAACACCAGCTAGCGCTATAACACTATTTAACATTATCTAACACCAGCTAGCGCTAGCTAACACTATTTAACATTATCTAACACCAGCTGGCGCTATAACACTATTTAACATTATCTAACACCAGCTAGCGCTAGCTAACACTATTTAACATTATCTAACACCAGCTAGCGCTAGCTAACACTATTTAACATTATCTAACACCAGCTAGCACTATAACACTATTTAACATTATCTAACACCAGCTAGCACTATAACACTATTTAACATTATCTAACACCAGCTAGCGCTAGCTAACACTATTTAACATTATCTAACACCAGCTAGCGCTAGCTAACACTATTTAACATTATCTAACACCAGCTAGCGCTATAACACTATTTAACATTATCTAACACCAGCTAGCGCTATAACACTATTTAACATTATCTAACACCAGCTAGCGCTAGCTAACACTATTTAACATTATCTAACACCAGCTAGCACTATAACACTATTAACATTATCTAACACCAGCTAGCGCTATAACACTATTTAACATTATCTAACACCAGCTAGCGCTAGCTAACACTATTTAACATTATCTAACACCAGCTAGCGCTAGCTAACACTATTTAACATTATCTAACACCAGCTGGCGCTATAACACTATTTAACATTATCTAACACCAGCTAGCGCTATAACACTATTTAACATTATCTAACACCAGCTAGCGCTATAACACTATTTAACATTATCTAACACCAGCTAGCGCTAGCTAACACTATTTAACATTATCTAACACCAGCTGGCGCTATAACACTATTTAACATTATCTAACACCAGCTAGCGCTAGCTAACACTATTTAACATTATCTAACACCAGCTAGCGCTAGCTAACACTATTTAACATTATCTAACACCAGCTAGCGCTATAACACTATTTAACATTATCTAACACCAGCTAGCGCTATAACACTATTTAACATTATCTAACACCAGCTAGCGCTAGCTAACACTATTTAACATTATCTAACACCAGCTAGTGCTATAACACTATTTAACATTATCTAACACCAGCTAGTGCTATAACACTATTTAACATTATCTAACACCAGCTAGCGCTATAACACTATTTAACATTATCTAACACCAGCTAGTGCTATAACACTATTTAACATTATCTAACACCAGCTAGCGCTATAACACTATTTAACATTATCTAACACCAGCTAGCGCTAGCTAACACTATTTAACATTATCTAACACCAGCTAGTGCTATAACACTATTTAACATTATCTAACACCAGCTAGCGCTATAACACTATTTAACATTATCTAACACCAGCTAGTGCTATAACACTATTTAACATTATCTAACACCAGCTAGCGCTATAACACTATTTAACATTATCTAACACCAGCTAGCGCTATAACACTATTTAACATTATCTAACACCAGCTAGTGCTATAACACTATTTAACATTATCTAACACCAGCTAGTGCTATAACACTATTTAACATTATCTAACACCAGCTAGCGCTATAACACTATTTAACATTATCTAACACCAGCTAGCGCTAGCTAACACTATTTAACATTATCTAACACCAGCTAGCGCTATAACACTATTTAACATTATCTAACACCAGCTAGCGCTAGCTAACACTATTTAACATTATCTAACACCAGCTAGCGCTATAACACTATTTAACATTATCTAACACCAGCTAGCGCTAGCTAACACCAGCTCCTGTATTGACCAGAATTATCGCTTTGTTTAACAATTTTTTGAGACAATCAACACACAATCTTTGTATGTATGAAAATGATACAGAGAGGTTTTTCATTCTCCAACATATCATCTTTGTTCAGACGGATGTTCACCAGACATTCAGACTCGTGTTGTATCTGGGACCTCAATGTGACAAACCTCTGTGGCAAACCTACCTAAACCTGTTTGTGAGCAGCACATAGTCTCCAGTCTGCCGGGAATCATTCAGCATTTCCACAGAGGTTCAGTTTGTTGTTTCTAGGGCCCAAGCAGGAAACATGCGACAACCTAAAACTGAAGGAATTATTTCTCTTCTGCAAATGAAGCTAATTTTGGCAGTTTAAACATGCTTGAAAACTCACAAAATTTTTCGCTTTGCAAAATGCTAGTCATGCGAAACTGTATATGTCATATGGTTATCGTGCATGAGCGGGAAAAAATGGCTCTCTAGCGCTCCCTATAGAGCAGCCCCTGGGCCATGTTTCACCAAATTGTACAAGATTTTTTAGGCCCATGAATCATATCCAGACCTACAAAAAAGCCTCAGGAAGCCATACTCTAAACCCAACAGGAGGTCGGCCATTTTGAATTTAATGGTCATTTATTTACACGTTACGCACTTTAACGAAGTCGTCCTACGGAATTAATCTGACCAACATAAAGATTTTGCTCTGCGATCTAAAAGCATTGATGATGAAAAGTTGTGATATGAGTTTTTTCGTCAGAGGGTGTGTCTATATTTTATTTCAGTCATCAAAAGCTCACGTTCGGAGTCAAACAGCCCGTCTCTCAGTCCTGTCTGGCTTCCTGTCTCTCAGCTCCGAGCCCATTGGTTCCTGCTGAAGACGTAAATCTTTAAATCTCCTCTCAGAAACAGAAGGAACGTGTTCTCCAGTGCAGCAGTGATGTTTGCGTTGGAAACAATGAGTGACTCACAGCGAACAGATGCTGAGGTGACACACAAGGTCAAACCAGAGTTAAAAAAATAAAATCACCATTTTTCATCTTCAGTGGGACAAAAACAGAACCAGCTTCTCTTTTCATGTAAACTGTAGAACCAACATTCACATGAACAAACGTCAACAGAGCTTCAGACCACGAACTGCTCTGTTATTAACTCAGAGAGGAATCTGGTGGTTTTAGGGAGAAATGTGCAGAAATGAAGCTCTGCGGTCGCGTCCATCTCTTCTGCTGACACAGCAGCTCTGTGGGATCAATACAAGCTGCTCAGACCTGATACGTGGACAATTTGACTCACCCGAAAGGGTCGCCCACCACCAGGAACGCCACGTCAGTCACGTCGGCGTCCTTCAGGATCTCATCGGCCCCTGTTCAACCAGATCTCTGTCGGCCAGGATCAGCTCCTTCCCATAGTACGCCTCCTGAGGACAACACAGACTGTTAAATCAAGTTCAAGTCAAGTCCCAAGTCAAGACGGGCAAGTCCCACAGCAAGTCCCAAGTCAAGACAGTCAAGTCCAAGTCCCAAGTCGAGACAGGCAAGTCCCACAGCAAGTCCCAAGTCAAGACAGGCAAGTCCCAAAACAATCAAAGACATTTCATATATTTAACGAGTTAAAAATGAAACACACTTTATTGAATAAAGCGTTAACCTGTACAGAAAAAAGGCAGTTTCACACAACAAATGTCATAAATTTAGCTGCACGCTCACTACTTTACACTGTTATACCAGCTGCACTTTACACTGTTATACAAGCTGCATGCTCACTACCTTACACTGTTATACCAGCTGCACTTTACACTGTTAAACAAGCTGTACGCTCGCACGCTCACGACTTTACACTGTTATACAAGCTGCACTTTACACTGTTGTACAAGCTGCACTTTACACTGTTGTACAAGCTGCATGCTCACTACCTTACACTGTTATACAAGCTGCACTTTACACTGTTATACCAGCTGTACGCTCACTACTTTACACTGTTATACCAGCTGCACGCTCACTACTTTACACTGTAATACCAGCTGTACGCTCACTACCTTACACTGTTATACCAGCTGCACGCTCACTACTTTACACTGTTATACCAGCTGTACGCTCACTACTTTACACTGTTATACCAGCTGAACGCTCACGACTTTACACTGTAATACCAGCTGTACGCTCACTACCTTACACTGTTATACCAGCTGCACGCTCACTACTTTACACTGTAATACCAGCTGTACGCTCACTACTTTACACTGTTGTACCAGCTGAACGCTCATGACTTTACACTGTTATACAAGCTGCACGCTCACTACTTTACACTGTTATACCAGCTGCACGCTCACGACTTTACACTGTTATACAACCTGCACGCTCACTACTTTACACTGTTATACCAGCTGCACGCTCACGACTTTACACTGTTATACAACCTGCACGCTCACTACTTTACACTGTTATACCAGCTGCACGCTCACTACTTTACACTGTAATACCAGCTGCACGCTCACTACTTTACACTGTAATACCAGCTGTACGCTCACTACTTTACACTGTAATACCAGCTGCACGCTCACTACTTTACACTGTTGTACCAGCTGCACGCTCACGACTTTACACTGTTATACAAGCTGTACGCTCACTACCTTACACTGTTGTACCAGCTGCACGCTCACTACTTTACACTGTTGTACCAGCTGCACGCTCACTACTTTACACTGTTGTACCAGCTGCACGCTCACTACTTTACACTGTTGTACCAGCTGCACATTCACTACTTTACACTGTTATACAAGCTGCACGTTCACTACTTTACACTGTTATACAAGCTGCACGCTCACTACTAATACAAGCTGCACGCTCACTACCTTACACTGTTGTACAAGCTGTACGCTCACTACTTTACACTGTTGTACAAGCTGCACGCTCATGACTTTACACGGTTATACAAGCTGCACACTCACTACTTTACACTGTTATACAAGCTGCACGCTCACTACTTTACACTGTTATACAAGCTGCACGCTCACTACTTTACACTGTTATATCAGCTGCACGCTCACTACTTTACACTGTTATACAAGCTGCACGCTCACTACTTTACACTGTTATACAAGCTGCACGCTCACTACTTTACACTGTTATACAAGCTGTACGCTCACTACTTTACAATGTTATACCAGCTGCACTTTACACTGTTGTACAAGCTGCACGCTCATGACTTTACACAGTTATACAAGCTGCACACTCACTACTTTACACTGTTATATCAGCTGCACGCTCACTACTTTACACTGTTGTACAAGCTGCACGCTCACTACTTTACACTGTTATACCAGCTGCACTTTACACTGTTGTACAAGCTGCACGCTCATGACTTTACACAGTTATACAAGCTGCACACTCACTACTTTACACTGTTATATCAGCTGCACGCTCACTACTTTACACTGTTGTACAAGCTGCACGCTCACTACTTTACACTGTTATACCAGCTGCACTTTACACTGTTGTACAAGCTGCACGCTCACTACTTTACACTGTTGTACAAGCTGCACACTCACTACTTTACACTGTTATACCAGCTGCACACTCACTACTTTACACGGTTATACAAGCTGCACACTCACTACTTTACACTGTTATACCAGCTGCACGCTCACTACTTTACACTGTTGTACCAGCTGCACGCTCACTACTTTACACTGTTGTACCAGCTGCACGCTCACGACTTTACGCTGTTATACAAGCTGCACATTCACTACTTTACACTGTTATACAAGCTGCACGCTCACTACTTTACACTGTTATACAAGCTGCACGCTCACGACTTTACACTGTTATACCAGCTGCACTTTACACTGTTGTACAAGCTGCACGCTCACGACTTTACACCGTTGTACAAGCTGCACGCTCACTACTTTACACTGTTATACCAGCTGCACGCTCACTACTTTACAATGTTATACCAGCTGCACTTTACACTGTTGTACAAGCTGCACGCTCACTACTTTACACTGTTGTACAAGCTGCACGCTCACTACTTTACACTGTTATACCAGCTGCACTTTACACTGTTGTACAAGCTGCACGCTCACTACTTTACACTGTTGTACAAGCTGTATGCTCACTACTTTACACTGTTATACCAGCTGCACACTCACTACTTTACACGGTTATACAAGCTGCACACTCACTACTTTACACTGTTATACCAGCTGCACTTTACACTGTTGTACCAGCTGAACGCTCACTACTTTACACTGTTGTACAAGCTGCACGCTCACTACTTTACACTGTTGTACAAGCTGCACGCTCACTACTTTACACTGTTATACCAGCTGCACTTTACACTGTTGTACAAGCTGCACGCTCACTACTTTACACTGTTATACCAGCTGCACTTTACACTGTTGTACAAGCTGCACGCTCACTACTTTACACTGTTGTACAAGCTGTATGCTCACTACTTTACACTGTTATACCAGCTGCACACTCACTACTTTACACTGTTATACCAGTTGCACTTTACACTGTTGTACCAGCTGAACGCTCACTACTTTACACTGTTGTACAAGCTGCACGCTCACTACTTTACACTGTTGTACAAGCTGCACACTCACTACTTTACACTGTTATACCAGCTGCACTTTACACTGTTGTACAAGCTGCACGCTTACGACTTTACACGTTTATACAAGCTGCACACTCACTACTTTACAGTTGTACAAGCTGCACACACTACTTTAATTGGAGCAGAGGGTCATTTCTTGAGTGTTGAAACATGAACAGATAGAATCAGATATTTACAGAAATGGGAGGGGGTCTACTCACTTTGTGGGATACTGTATAATTTATATTTGGGCTTGGGGAAGGTATCAAGTCAGTTCAAGACAAAATGCTCAAGTCCAAGTGAAGTCACGAGTCACTGGTGTTAAAATTAAAGTCTTTTCTTGATTTTGTTGAGTCTGGAGTCATCATATGTGTGTCATTTATATCCACACCGCTGGCTGAGTAAAGAGTGGATGTCTAACTTCCTTCTCGGGGTTCTCTGTAAAAGCCTGATTTACCCACAGACCCGTGCAGCTGTCTTTATGTGGCCCCGGTGTTCGGACTCACCAGAGCCTCCTTCCCCACAGTGAGGATGGAGGTGTAGGCCTCCAGGTAAACTCTGGAGCAGCTCTTCACCGCCTGCAGGCCCTTCACCGTGATGTCCGCCGCGTCCCCCAGCCCCAGGCCGACCAGGTACAGCATCCTGCCGGCTTCACTCTCTGCAGCGAGTCGGTGTCACGCTGCTGCTCTTAAGTCCTGATAAAAAACCTCATGAAGAAGTTCAGTCAGTCTGTCACTTCACTGTTCCCCTGCTTTCACGTGTGGTCTCACTGGACAGACTGGAATACGGTATGCCGTAAACTGTTTACGTTTCACGACAGCCGCAGCCGCGATACGTTCAGATATTACGCCAAACTCCGTTGACAAATCAGTGTATTTAATAAATCCGTGCTTGTCTTCTGAGCGTATGCTTTCAAAGATAACCCATATACATGTATTCTTGTGAAGTATGGACCAGGCTTTAATTCGGCGGTTTACAATAAAATACTAACTTTAAAGTAATGTGTCGGGCTGGTGAAGTAAAAATGTTTGGGGACATGAGGCTCGTGGAATTTATCTGACGAACTGAACTGAAATGTTAAACTGGTTAAAAAGAAAAACAAGTAATAACAGCAAATAGTATGAATGGAGGCAGATTCAACGTTCCCTAAACTAGAAGATAAACTGATGGCTGATCTCTGGCGACATGTCCAATTCATTAGATTCAAAGTGTTTATTGTTTCCCTGCACACTGAATCCTTACTTTGCTGTCCACATCAAATACCCAGAATAAAAAATTAAATATATGTATAAATAAAAATACAATAGATAGAGATATAAAATCTTCAACTCTATTTCTCTTTCACACATATGTGCACGGTGTCACACGTGTTCAGTGTTCCTATCACTTTCAGTTGTCCACATACTTCTGGACGTATACTTTGTACTGTGCTGCTAATAAATACTTATAAAATTAACTTTATTTATAGAGTGTTATCAAAACAAAGTACAAAGTTCTTCACAGAGAGAAAGATGACATGAAATAACAGTGAATGATAAAATACATCAGGGACAAAATAAAATAAGAAATAACAAGCAAGTAAAACATTAAATTAAGCAGGACAAAAGAAAGAAAAAGACGATTATAAAGACGTAGATAATTTCAGCATCCTTGTGCCTCCTGAGTTGTTGGTGTGGTAATAATCCGTGGAAACATCTTCTCTGCTCCAGGTCTCCTGTGAAACAACGTCTAATAAAATCTGAATGTTTAAACCTTTTAACCCAAAAGCAGACGATCTGACGAATGAACGGGTTCATCGCTCAATGCTTTAAAAATAAGATACTATAAATAAGATAATGCTGACAAATAACTCTGGTTCCATTCCTCCAGTCTTCTAAACACAGTCACAGCTGGTGATCCTGGCTGCTGTGCTTCATCAGGTTTTTAGTGCTTTGAGTGAAACTGTGTATTCTGGACTTGAATTTTGTTAAGATACATTTTGCATTAGTATTTAGGACGCTGGGTGGCTGTCATTAGATGCACAGGGTTGTAGGGGAGAGCGGGGTATGTTGTCACACTTTTCACACTGTCTGATATTTACTGAGCACCGAACATGGTACAAAATGAAAGAATGAAGTCTTGGGCAGAAGTTTTGTATTCATCACATCTTCATATCTTATCTCATTACGGAGCTGTGGACTGTTGAATAAAGAGTTTAAACAACTTGCCCCATCGGCAGGTAAGTTGTCACACTGGATTATCAAACAGTTAGAAACTTGTGAATATTGATTTCAATTTCAAATTGTAACCAGAACTAAAAATAAAATCAATCAGCAATCAAGCCCAGAAAATTTGGAGAGTAAATAATTTAATTCAAAACACAAATGTTGGCAGAGCAGACATTAAGTGGCACAACGTCTTTCTTTGAACTTTAAAATCAAACGTTCTCTGGAGTGCAAATGGATCTATGGTTACTGAATGTAATGCTGCAGATAACTTGCTTAAATGTGTAACTTCTTAACTAAACAGATGTGGCAACAAACGACAATGTGCACTTCTGTACAATGTACATACTGTATGTATCTGACCAATCAGATGTGTTTAGAGTCACAGTTCTGGCCTGAGGTGCAAACATCGCCGGCCCATTTGTTGCATTTCACATACTGTATGAAAATGGCTCCACATAGACGAGGCCAAAAGAGATCAGCTGTACTTCTGACTGATTTATTCTTCAACCTGCCTGACTGCCTTTAACATTACGTCAGGTGGTTTTCTGTCATTCTCTGTCTTCTGTTGATAATTTCCATCCTTCAAAAACACATTCCTCCATAAAATTACAAATAAATTACAAGCGTATTTATCTACTATGCTTGTTGCCTAACTAAATTAATAACTGTATGATGTAGTATGTGTGTTTGTATCTACTAACATGCATGCCTACAGTATAAGACCGTAAATACTCTGTCATGAGTTCAGTCTTGTCCAGGCACACGGCTGCTGCTGTAAACTACAGAGTATAATATTCTATTTACAGAATCATTTAATCCCGATGTCAGAGGTAATTACACAATTTCACACAGTTTTTTGAGCAACTAATCACATGACGACTTGCCCCACACTGACATGTGTGCTAATGTTGGCTAAATCTCAAGGTTAGCTTAGCATAGCACTTCAGCTGAAGTATCAAAAGACACATTATTGTCTCCTCTACTCTGTGCAAAGTTATCATTTTGAACATTCATACCTAATAAGGTTGGAATACATAAAATGTAAAGTGCAAATGTTTTATTTTGAATCAAAAAAATAATAACATTGTGCTCACCTTGGCTGTTAGTGGTTCCCTACACTTATTTTAACACCAGAGGGGATCGTTCATTCCAAGCAGTGGCACCGAGGCTGTGTGGAAGGCTTTGCCTTCCTTTCTACGTTCTGTGAATTCTGTTGATACTTTTAAAAAGCAACTGAAGACGCTGATATTCAAGCAGGCTTTTAGTTAGACGTGGGTTTTTGTTTTTTGATGGTTTTGTTTCTATGTTTTCCATCTGTATTTAAATTTTCTTATACAGTATATTTTGCTTTGTTGTATTGTATTACATTTTACTGTGTGATTGTTTTTATCTGTGAAAGGTGCTATACAAATAAACTTTACTTACTTACCTACCTCAGATTAGAGTGAGCGTGACCACATGTGAACAGGAAGTTGAACATAGAAAAAGAAGTCACACAAAATGGCTGTTTGATTTTTGACATAGAGCCTCTAGTGTTGGAGCAGTGGGACAACTTACCCCGCTCTCCCCTACAGTAAATGGGTAAAGCTGACAGGAAGTGGTAGGTGCTGCTGGGTGGGGGGGCACACAGGTCTCAGCAGACCACAGGTACAGAACACACGACGTTACTCAGACCTATAGGCTGCGTGGTCTCACTGGAAAACTCTTTTATTAAAGCAGTGTACCGTCGTGTCCCATAAATGCCTCGGTTTCATTGACTGATTACTTTTAGGGTTTTATGATGTTTATTGCTTATGTTTTATTGCCAGGCGGTTAAAGGCCATAAAGTTTTTACTGCTGCTGCGTAGAACGTGTATTATTGTGGCTTTCTCTGTGAAAAGTTCTTTATCAAATAAAATTTAAACTTACTTACGACTGGAGCCGATAGAACTGGTTCATATTTCTTATTACTGCAATAAACAACAAACCTCATCTGCAGTAATGACAGGAACATCTGTGTAAATCTTCCCTCCTGCAGAACAAAGAAAAGGACAATCGGGGCTCGAAGTGAAGCTGCTTTGAACGTTTAGGACGGCGTGGAGGGCCTCTGTTTGTCTCAGGATCTCATGATGATGATTATTAGTCTATCAGAATACGCTGCCCCTGATATCTTAAATAAAGATGGCATAATACAGTATTTCAACATGCTCCCCATACTACTAGGTACTGGCACCTATTTTTGTTGACTTCAAGCACTGATCAAATGTCCAGATTGTAGTTGGAACGTTAGTGTTGAATAACTGGGTAGTTAATGCATCGCCCTGCAGCCTTACTGAAATGTCCTGATGCGGATCCGGTCAGACCGAGAGGGACAGGTGCTGCTGTTCTCCTTTGTTTTCCAGGATCTTGAGGTTTTTCTCAAAGCCCAGGTTTGGCAGCATTGGTCCGGTCTGGTTATGTTGAAGACCATCTCTGGTCGGGGACAACATGATGAGGTACAAGGTAGATTTACACCGGGTTGTAAAGTGAAATAAAGCAGGTATCTGTGTGTGTGACAGTTAAAGGCCGAAGGCTTCATTTAGAAACAGGCTGAATGATGCAGGACTTCATTGCAGCAGCTCGGTACGACCCGTATTCTTCGTGCTTTTCTATTGCTGGTACCAGCTCGACTCGACTCGCTTTGGTTCCCCGTCCTCCCTTTTCCATTGCAGATGTAGCACATCCTCAGTGCAGCTGGTCATCGCAGCGTCGCCACACGAATCTGTCGTGATGTAATCTTGTTTAATGAATTGAGTTGAATGAAGAGACACGAGAGACAAGTTTAAAACAAGTTTAATAACAAACTGGATAAATCTGTTTGTTCCTGAACGGTCAACACCGAAGGAATCCTAAAGTAAGAACAGACTGAGCAGCTAAACTGACTGCTAGCTTGTTTCTGACACGGCTTTGTTGTCGATTCTCTCTGACCAATCAGCAGGCTGCAGTGTTTTCACGTCACGTTTTGGTTTCGCCTCAGCTCACCCGGAAACTCCACCGAGCTGATACCAAACAAAGTACCAGGTGCAACTTTCCCCAAAGGAAAACCAAGAAGACGAGTAGAGGTGAGTCGGGTTGGTACCCTGAGGAGGAAAAGGGGCTCTAGATGTTTTGTTTGGTTTCTCTGGTGGCAGAAGAATAAACAGTCTGTTTAAGGAGGAGGTGATGGATCAAGAGTCCCAGGTGGAAGAAAGTCAAAGGAGACATAAGTTAAATAACGTTTTGTAGATGAGTTCTGTAACGTACCAAAGTCCTTCTAGGCAAGTTCTGCCACTCTGCCGCCATCTTGGCGACGCCTCCGGACAGCTAGTTCGACCTAAGAAGACCAGGTTCCTGTCTGAATGAATGTGGAGAGGGTCAGAACTTTCTCTGGGAAACGGGATCTACTTGTAACACAGACCCTTACGTCAGTGGAACCACACGATTGGCTGTAATATGTTTCCAGCTTTGGCTGTTAAAAGCAGACAATTGGCGTTCTAGGGGGATAACCGCCATCTTTGCCATTACGGGCTTTCCCCGTAGAGTTGTGTAAAATGTCTCTGGACGTACTGAAGGGGATCGAACCGCCGGC